CAACGGAACAATAAATGATTGTCGAACGAATGCAGATTGACAATCTCGTATTGATGGAAAAACATCCATAAAATTTCGAAGACTTGCAATATTTTATGGTTCCTATATTATTTCATTTGCCCAACTAATTTAGTTGTAGTTCGTGAAAATTTGTGATTTTGGGTTGGTTTAGATGATTGTGCATACTTTAATAGGCAACTCATCTTAGCATATTTGATAAATTTTATAGATTATGATTATAGATGCAGTGAAAGTCGTTGACAATGAAAATGAAAGTCTTTGACAGTTGTATCGTAAAAATATTAATAATAAGAGTTATACCTCTAAGTATAGTTTTGAGAAACACATAAATAATACTTGAATCAATCTTTATACGCAGGATCATTTATTAATGCATAACTGAATACCAACGACGCATGCTCATCGTCTTGCCTATTATAGTGTAGCCGCAGCGTCAGCAGAAGCCGTAGAGTAAAAAATAGTGACAAGTTTGTTTAAGAAAAAAAAACTCAGTACTCACTGCAGTGAGTGACAGAGAGCGCATTTTCTCGTCGACGAAAACTTGTGGTCACGGACGGACGGACAGACGGACATGGCGAGCACAATAGTGCATGTTTTCCATAAATGAGAAAATGCGCTAAAAATGGTGAGTTCATTTAAGTCCATCAGCCAACCACTGATCTATCTTAAAGCTAAACAAACAAATTTATCCCATCCGGAAAATGTTTTAAGCAAGCTTTGTAAGTCCTGTTCCGATGTATAGAAAGCCTGCCAACAATCACTACCGTGGTCGTTACATAAACGTTTGCTAATTCTGAAAACTGTAGTTTTCAAATAGATTTATTATTGAAAGCATTCGTTCAATATAACAATTAACGACCTTCGGAACCGCATTGACACGATGCCAGCACTGACCCATAAGCAGTTACCTTATAACGAATTCACACAAATGTAAACAAAAATATATATACAAGTGGTAGCAATAAATATGAAGTCATCGCAAATTTAGTCGTCCAAGTATCTCTTAATAGTGTAAAGTTAAGCCGTACAACATCGGGTGGCAAGCCATGATTTAGTGAAGCACGTACGGTGTGGTTGCGGTGAAAAAAAAGATGAAAACTGATCAACCTGTAGCAAAGTTATCATAAAGAATGATGTTAATGAGTCACCTATAATATCAGGTGATTTATTAATAACCCGTCATAATTCCAACATGAAAGAACCATTCACAATAATTCTAGGATATTAAACATTTCCAACTGCATTTGATACAATACTTACAGCTTCACAACAAAGATATAAAATGCACATATCACAACCATTGATATAAAATGCACAAACAGCGAAACCGCTTCTCAAGAAACCTAAGTCTCGCAAGATTTTGAAGAATTTTGCAGAGGCAAATCCTTCGGGGATTTTATAAGGAGCAGAAATGTGGAGTATTTTGGCTTGAGGGAGTCGGTGTGTGGGAAGCTTGGCTTATTCTGAGCAAGTCTTGCCAGTCACGCGCACATGTAATGTGACAAGTTGCGCGATTTGCGGCTTTGCTGAAGATTGCGCGGCTCCAACCTCGGCGAAGGACAATCTCCTCCGAGACGATATGCGACGATAGCGCGATGCCTGCAGAGCGTGACTTATGGCATATAGAAGGCAAAATGAATGTCTCCCTAAGTCAAGTACTGCCAAGAACAGTGAATAAAAGATTATGGTGGACCTTTTTTGACCGGGAGACATGAAAGAAATATTTCTAGTAGTCATCTGACTTTCCACGTACCACTAGCGCTAAAAATCTTTTGAAGAAACGATTAAGTACATGGTGATCTGAAATGAAAATGCTGCTGGATGCATTTGCTGTGACGTTTTTTTGCTGCGCTGAAAAAGCAAAAACGTCGACATCACAGCAAAAAAAATCGATTTTGGGTCGAGAAGAATCGAGGGAATCGAAAGTGTTGCATTTTGAATGCTTTATTGCTAGGTATTTATTACATATAACGAATCATGAGCAAAAATATCACGGATAACTTTGTCTACCTTTAACTTGGACAATATTTTGCCGCCATCGAAATCTTCAACAAAGTAAAAACTTATTCGCTCGATTAAAATCCTCGCATTATAAGGGAACTTTCAATAAAATTTAAACAGATTATTTATCAGTAGAATTTTTCGGATTGAATTCATCGTGGTCCCCAAGTTTAACTTTTTTTTTCACAGAAATATCAAGTAAATTTTTTATGTTAAAAACCCGCAAACTAAGGATCGTTCTCGCCTGAATTTTAATGATACATAATATTATAAAACTTTGCCAATTCAACCTTCAAAAACCACGAGCTGAGCCCGGGACTTTCGCCTTCAAAATTTGTCGCTAGAGTTGCTGCAGAAACTGCAATACAGAAGTGTTAAGTGTTACGACTCACAATTGGCTCTAAACGTTCCGTCGTAAGTTCTTACGACCTCACAACGGTTATTATTAAGAGTGTTAGCTGCTAGCATTGCGTGTTTGTAAGGTGTTTGTTTAGGTTTGTCCTCGTGCTCTGGGGTATAGAGCTACGCAACTGGCATGCAAATTGCGCCAAAACGTGGCACTTCGTAGCAATTTTACGATCGAGACTTCAACGTCACGCAAAGAACATTGCAGTTACTGTTGTTTTCTCCTTTAACCGAACTGCGAGCTTATAGTAAATTACTCAGCTAATTCAAGACGTAAATAATTGGACGCGGCATTTCATTAGAGACGTTAATTTGAAAATTTTATCGTGTTGATCCAATAATAAAAATTTTTTATTCTCTCCGCAGAGAATATTTTAAATTGAAAATACTCAAATTTACTTGTAAAGACCGCAATTTGTATGTATGTGTGCACGTACTCTAACAAAAAATCTTCAATTTATTTTTCAAATCTTCAAGATATTGTTTTAAATCTCCAAGATGTTGTTTTTTTAAGTTATAGTTTTTAATCCTCAAGATATTGTTTTAATGCTTCATGATATCGTTTTAAATATTTAAAATATTGTTTCAAATCTTCAAGATATTGTTTTAATGCTTCATGATATCGTTTTAAATCTTTAAAATATTGTTTCAAATCTTCAAGATATTGTATCAAAGCTTCAAGATATTGTTTAAATTTTCAAGATATTTTTATCGAAGTCGTCGATCCAGAGGCACATTTCTATTAATAATATACTATAAATTTTACATACCTGAAAACATCTCTATTTATTAACTTTAATCAGCTTCAAAGTTAAACCATTGAATATATGTGGCTTTCTTGCACGTTTACGCTGAATAAGTTCTAGTTTTCCCGATCCCAAAGATGAGAGAAAATTATCGTGGTAGGAATGACTATACTAGATCAATTGATTCTTATTTCCATATAAATTCAAAACTAAATCTCATTGTAAAGATATTTATGCACCAAATAAGAAGAGATTCTCATTTCTACTGAAAATTTAAAATGGTTTCAATTAATGGATAAGAAGAACTCTCCTAAACTCTACGGTATTTGAAACAATAATTTAAGTTACTTTTCCGCAATGAAAGCATCAGTTAATGTAGGTTTGGCTTATAGTATACGCAACACTTGAAAAACTCTATTTCATATAAATTTTATTTAAACGATCAAGCGCCTTGATTGGAATACCTGTATTAAATGTCAAATGCTGAAATTTAAACACAACAAATCACGTTGTGAGCAAAAAAATTTCAATTTGGAGCAAACATAAAGCAGCAATGTGCAATGGTAGCAGAGAATTGTGAATCAATTTACTTTCCTTTTCGCTTTATATTATAATTTAGTATCAGAATTTAGTAGTATTGTCATTAACTTAATAAGACGACTTATTTATTGAGATTTATTAAAATGACTCTTATTACTCTTTATTGAGAGTGATCATACTGAACAGGTTCCTAATAATGGCATAGTTATATCGACATTTATTAGCCATCTGAAACAACGTAGGACAGGGTTAAAAGAATTTTACGTTCCCTTCCAGTCTTCCAGTGCAAAGTTACCAACTAAAAAGGTTATTTCAATTTTTTCTTATGGAAATATAAAAAAATGACTGTATAAATGAATAGATAGTGTGCCGAGAACCATTGACTCGGCGGATTAGCGTCGTCTAGGCCTACCGCATTTTAAGAATTCATTCACCTTGCAGCCGTCTTTGACAGATGAACTATCACCGTGTCAGTAGTCTCGCAATTTTGTTCCGTTAAACAGCCCTTGAAAACCTACGTAAGTTAAGTTGCTAAGCTAAGCCTTTTGAATCATGTACCTATTGTTCAGTATATTTATGTACGTTTCGATTTGCTTTATGTTCTTGATTAGTCATTTGTCAAAATTTTCATTGAGCCAGTCTATTGTTTTCGTCATTGTATTTTATTCTCCTGCTCTCTGGGCAGGTCCACGGATTTAAGTAAATTCCACCAGCTACAAACTCTGAGCGTTTTTTACCCAAGCCAAAGTGGCGTTTACAATGCCTCGGCATTGACAGATAGTTCGATCTCAGAACACTCTAATCCAAATCACGCAAATAAATCTAATACATTGTTTTCAATTTCTCAGGAAGTTATTCCACTTGGCTGGTGAATATCCCGGAAAATATTTGAATTTCCAAATTTTGGCGATCCTTAGAATAAAATATCCCGGACCGGAGCGCGCAACAAATATTTTTAACTTTTTTCATTAATGTTTAATGCAACTGTAGTTTCTACGCTTGTGCAATATTGGCAGACTATTTTCCTATAATTGAGGCGGTTTGGTAAATACGCAAAAATGGTTTGAAAGTTTATTTAGCGTACAAAAAATCAAAATTCTCATACTGTTTGAATAATTTTTCTCACTATAATACCAATTTATTATACTGTTGTCTACATATAAAGCATTCCAAATATTTTTAAACTCCCCCGAGATATTGTCATTAGTGACAAATTAATCCTGAAAGACGCAAAATGCCGTTATATTCTTCAATAAAATGGAATTTGTTCAAACATTTTCAATTAAATGATGTTCAAATATCAGATCTATTTTAATTTAATAAATCAGAAATATCTCAAGCCAATTATATCCTTTCTTGCAACAATGAGTAATGGTGCAGGTATAACACCTGACTAAAATTAAAGTTAGCGTACTATATTATTGGCTTACTGTTAATCTAGAATCTCTTAAAATTATCTGAAAATAGTCTATAATTCAAATGTGACATTAAAATATTTTTACTTATATACAAGTTAGGTCCATTATCGTCTTGTCTATCACTAGATAATTCGTTCCAATATTCTCAAGGGCTCATATTGAAAATAATCGGAACAAGTTCTAGTGGAATTTTTGTAATAATTTTAGTATTTAATTAATATAGCTCAGATATACGGTGCTTGAAGTCGTACATCAAACAGAAATAATTATTTATTTACAATTAATTTAAAAAAATAACCCTCAGTCGACGCAATACCTATAGATGAATTTTCAATGTTTTTTTCAATCAATATTGGAGTTACAATAGTTACCTAAATGTTTTCAATGAGGCAAAGGAACATCAATGCCTCATTTACAAGTAATTATAAATAAGCAAAAAACAATTTACATACGCGAAGGAAAAACTTCTTCGGGAAAGAACAATCAATGTAAGTCACTACGTCCTAGTAGAACTACACTTTATTTGAGCTTATATTCACTTGCAGAATCGAGCTCATATTCAAGCTCGAATTCCCGTCACATTTAACTTGAATTCAGGAGTCAACTTTCGGCAATCAAGTCAGTTTTTATGATGATATTTATTCAAGCACAATTAATAGCGATCAAGCTGGTATTGCAAACAATAAATGTTTGAGAAATTTTTGAGCAATCGTGCTACATTCATTCAACGGCATTAAAATTAGCTAGGGGATTTTTACGGTGCAGAGAGTTAAAGGTTCAAGCTCTATTGATGCCAATTTACAGCGTATATTGTTCCCGGGTAAAACCCTTACTTCTTACTAAACCCCTACTTCTTACTTCACTCTACGTAATAAGTTTTCACTTCAATTTTCAGGTTATTTCACCAAACATTAATATTAATTATTCTCATAGTAGAGTATGTTTATCACACGCGCAGTTGACTTTGTCTTAAATTATACCTAATGAGAAAACACAATTATAAATTAACATTACATGTATAATCCTTTCACAGTAGTGAATAGCTTCATTGACATTATATATAAAACATTGACTGCATTAAATGACTGCAATGCGAGACACATTAATGTACTATCACCGTTCCCAGAAGCAAAATCGTAAGCTCAAGAGTTAATTGCAAGAACCAATAATTTCAAACGTCTCATTACGATGCTATTCATAGATTAGTTTGTCCTGAATTTTGACAGTCAAAATCCGGATTGTCAGCTATTTTATATGAAAATTTATACTGCACTCATTCATTAGTTTGCGCTGAATTTTGAAAGTCAAGATCCAGATTGTCTGCTATTTTAAATGAAAAATCATGTTGCTAATCTGTAGCATTGATACCGAAAGTGCATAAAAATTATGTGTGCGATGCCTGTCAAACTCTGCTCAATCAAGTCGAACCGTGACCAAATCTTTGCGCTGATTGGTTACCAATCAGCATTCAAGCCGCTGATTTCAGAACCTACAAAATATGTTGCCTGTCCCGTTCATGACAAGTCAATTTCTACAACTAACAAATTTAGACCTGAAAGCTTAAGAGTACAGAATCTAGTCAATGTCTAGAATACAGCAAGGTAGGTGCGTTGACACGAACCTAGAAGTGTATGTATGCTAGACTAGAGTAGAAACAGCAGTTTCGTTAGGCCGTTGGCTGGGAGCTGGAGGCTCGCTTTCTTTGATAACAACCATCCTGCCCATGGTCAGGCGAAACTGCTGACTCATGATGTAGTATAGGAAGAAATTAGCTGCGCTGTTGATGAGTGCCATGAGATCCATGAGATCCCCCCATTCCATGTAGCATTTCCTGGAAGTGAACACAATTCTTAATTTCCTGAAGGTGAACAAAATTCATAATTTCCTGAAGGTGAACGCAATTCATAATTTCATGAAGTTGAACACAATTCGTAATTTCCTGAAGCTGAACACAATGCGTATTTTCCTGAAAGTGAACACATTTCATAATTTCATGATGGTGAACACAATTCATAATTTCCTGGAGCTGAACACAATACATATTTTCCTGAAGGTGAACATAATACATCATTTTCTCAAGCTAAACACAATTCATAATTTCATGAAGGTGAACACAATTCATAATTTCCTGAAAGTGAACACATTTCATAATTTCATGAAGTTGAACATAATTCAAAATTTCCAGAAGGTGAACACATTTCATGATTTCATGATGGTGAACACAATTTATAATTTCCTGAAGGTGAATACAATTCATAATTTCATGAAGGTGAAAACAATTTTTAAACCGAACTTTGAGGCGCGAATAGAATTGTTGTTCAGAGGTTACATTTTATCTGAGGGTTGAATAGGATACAATTTAATGATCGCAGAAATATTCCCGGTAAAGGATTGTATGGATGATGCGTATTTCAAATTATTTTCTGGGTGATAAAGTAGATGGAATAATTTTATGCTGATTAAATTTATTATAGCCAATCTAAATTTTAATTTATTCTTACAGTCTTGTGCCGTATTTTAGAGTTTAAAATTATTGTTTTTTAATACTATCCGATCATAATTTTTTGTAAATACATGAATATGTTAACTCCTAAACATTCTTTAAAATTAAAATAACTACATAAGAAGCATAATTACAAGATACTTTTTATTTCAATATTTCTTAGGAATACTTGTTTTCACAACACATCATTCTGCATCTTCTGCGGTAAAAATTTGATCAAAAATAATATAAAAATGTTATAGATCCTTTCAATAATTCAAAGTTCAGAACTTCTTTAATTGTTGATATTCCGACATGTTTAGTTGATGAAAATTTATTTATACTGTATTCGACGATATTCATAACAATATAAACATAAATAACCTGCCGTTCCAAATTATAACATGAACAGCATATTTACGGCACGGCAACTTTCCCTATGAAACCGAATTCAAACTTTATCAGTGAAATTTAGAATCAGAATTTAATTTAAAAATGAAAAGTGGCGTCCGAGCTGTGAAACCATCTGCAATTTGATCACAAACCTCATTTCCAAAATGAATTTGCGTTAAAATTTAAAAATTTCACCCGCGTTAGCATCGTGTTGTAAAAAGGAAATATTCTACCCAGTTTCACTAGAGAAACTAATCTCAGTGAACGACTTTTAGGAGAATGAGGACGATCTACGACGGAACATTTTGAAAATTTCAGCTTCGTTAAAAAAAATCAAAATTCTAAATCCTATCTCACTTAAAAAAACTAATCACCGAGTAGGGCAGTAAGGAGGGTGTGGGCGCTCTGCCCACGGGAAGAAAAATTTGGAAATTTCATGTGTTAAACAAAATAAAAATTCACAATCCTGACTCGCTCAAAAAAACTGATCCCTGCGCGGGGCTCCAAAAAAGGTAAGGAGGCTTGGCGGCCGGCGAAATTTTAAACTTTTTACCATTGTCGCGTCCAGTACGCGTGCGGCATGCACTTTAGATTATAGCCTTACGGCACGGAGCTGTATTCGGGGTCGAAGCCTTCTGCCATTTCTAGCGCATTTTCTCATTTGAGAAAAAAATATAACTGGATACTCACTGCAGTGAGTGACAGAGAGCGCATTTTCTCGTCGACGAAAACGTGAAGTTACGCACGGACAGACAGACGGACAGACAAACGGACGGACATGACGAGCACAATATGGAATTTTTTCCATAAATGAGAAAATGCGCTAAAAATGCGCTATTGTGCTCGTCATGTCCGTCCGTCCGTCCGTCTGTGGCTTCACGGACGGATGAGAAAATGCGCTCTCAGTCACTCACTGCAGTGAATATTCTGATCTAATTTATTAGCGATTTGCTGTTCCTAGGAGTTGAGCTTTCGCTGAATTACTCCTTCCGTCAATTTGCTATGATTTTCTCATATATTTCTTGTTCATATTAGCGTTGTCAGTCGACAGTAGTTCTCCAACGTGAAGTAAAGTCTTTTTTTGACAGAGTAAATTAGGCTTAAATTCCCGTTGAAAATTTTATAATTTAAAAACTAGGGCACAAAAACTGAGTTCTAAGGATTTGTATTTGTTGCAACATTAACATTTATTTAGCCGAAAGTTATGTCATGTTTAGACATTGGTTTAATAAATACCAGTGTATATTTATGGTTCGTCAAATTTGCAAATTTATATTACCACGTTTTTCTTGACTTCGTTTCGTGTCTGTCTGTCATCAAAAATTCAAACCTTAATTTAGAGCACTTCTAAACATCCTAGTAAGTTGAAATTTGGTATGCATGTTTATGCTGCCTAACAATTCAAGATTTGATCATCAGAAATATTAATAAAAAATTTTTTTAATTTAAAATAAAAAAAAACGCTAAAAATTCACGGTTTGGAATTGAGTTTTATCCCGAACATCCACACTTGTCAACCCTGGAAATTGATTCGAATTGTTAAAATTGCTAACTAAAAAGTAGAAAATAAATAAATATAAAAAATATTTTTAAAAACCACGTTTTTCTGTTTATTACAAAACTAAAAATAGTGAAATAAAACAAATAAAAAAATTTAAAAAACCACGTTCTCTTAACGGACAAAAAAGAAAAACATTTACTTTTACATAACATTATATAACATTTTACATAACATAAATGTTATATAAGAGTAAATGTTTTTCTTTTTTGTCCGTTAAGGGAAAATGTTTTTTTAAAGTTTTTTTTATTTGTTTTTTTTTTTCACTTGTTCTGATGTACGGAATTCGTCCCGCAGTTTTACTTGAAGATAAAAGAAACAAGTGAGAATGAACACTTTTTCCGTTCCATTGTCCCTGTCTGCATGATGAGGTGGCCTTTTGAATTCTACCCAGGAGAGCCATGTTGAAAAAATATAACTCAGTACTCACTGCAGTGAGTGACAGCGAGCGCATTTTCTCGTCGACGAAAACGTGAAGTCACGGACGGACATACGGACAGACAGACGGACGGACGGACATGGCGAGCACAATAGTGTATTTTTTCCATAAATGAGAAAATGCGCTAAAAATATAAATTCTCAATCCTGACTCACTCGAAGAACTGGTCACCGTGCAGGGCAGTGAGGAGGGTAAGGACGCTCTGTGGCAGCTCCACGACCAAGAACATGAAGAGTACGGCCAGTAACATCCGCGTAGTCTTTTCGGTTAACTTTTCCATATGCGGGATTTTTCGTGCCACTGCATTTTCTGAGTCGTTGGACGGAGGCGTGCTGCTCATCTTGAACAAATTAGCCTGGAAAAAATTAGTTAGAGTTAAGAAAAAACATGTTAAGTTTGAATTATTTCAAAGCAAAAGCTGAAAGTCAGCAAAGGTTCAAACGAGGTAACTTACTAAAGATAACTTGGGGTGAAAAAAAAACATCTTATGTCATGGGGGAGACGGGGAGGTTTCTGCGGTTGAAAGTTCGAGTTACGCTACGGACTTAAAAAATTGACGGTTCAAGCAGTTTCTTCAATTGAAAGCGATTCTGAGTACCGACGATTTATGTTAATTGGCTTAGTTAAATATAGTAAAACAGATCAAATAATAGGTTTTATGTTAAAGCAACAATATGAATTTCAATTTGCATTCCTTCCAGAAGATCATCGAACTATTTATTGCTTTATTTGCATTTGCACCATTTTTCACTTTATTCCAGTCATTTTTCATATTACTTCTATTTGCACATTTGTCGACTTTACTATAGTCTTTTTTCATCAAACTGAAATTAATTTCTTTTTCTTCGTTGCAACCACAACATTTGATCGTTTCATCATCTTAAGTCAATATTAAATGTTTATTAAAATAGGAAATCTATTTGTCGTTGCTTATCCTTTATAAAAGCCTGTCCTTCTGCCTTTCTGACAATGATAGCCAGAAAGGCAGATTTAATAAGATTTAATATTTAATTCAATTTAATTAAGATTAATATTTAATAATTAGAGAAACAGATTTAATAATTATTAGTCATAAGTGATTTAATTTTCTGCTGCCATGCCTTCGAAGATCATCGGAGTAATTATTTTTCTTGTGTGCATAGCAAGTAAGTATCTTTTTCCTCTCATCCATTAAGGGAAGAGCAATTTGGGGTGATGGAAAGCTGACCCGGCTGAGAGAGGATTGTGCCTGCAAGCAGCGACGCGAGAAACTATTTCTTATATTTCGGACGTACATCCTATATCTATATCGTAAACTATATCTTATATTCCGGACGTACATCCTATATCTATATCGTAAACTATATATTATATTCCGGACGCCGTGCGTCTGCTTTGTACATCCACGGAAATACTGCTAGAAATTAACTATAGTGACGTCTAACATTGACATAATTAAAGAAGACCTAATTACCCATGTAGAACTTAATGTATAAGCGAGGAAAATTAAACTTAAATGGACAAATAACTCGGAAATTGAATGATCTGCATCAACAAAGTTTTAACGTTAAATACACAAAATAGTAATTTATTGTTGTAAAAAAGTTGTTGTAACGTAAAATATCCGTTATGTTAATTTACTACTGGTTTTGAATAATATAAAATAACATAATTTTTATTATAATGTTTAGGGTGAATAGTGTCAGGATGTAGTTCGTGCTATACGGAAATTCGAACAGGAAATCTATTTTAAAGCAAGCTGCAAGTTTGAACAATACTTTCAATTAAAGTATCCGTCTGAACATTGATCAAGAATTGATATTGAGCTGATCTAAAATTAAACTGGTGCTGATCAATGATTAATCCTAATAGTGTTGATTTAAAAGTCGGAGCAATCCTTGAGACGATTTTTAAGGACTGGAAAGGTTCTGCTCGCTGAATATGCGAGGCGATCAGAACCTTGAGGCCACGAGATTAGTTTTCCTCGTAAAAACTCCAATGCCTTTCTGGCAAAAATTAAAGAAATAAATGTTAGTACAACTGTTGACTTTTTTAAATGAGCAATTATTGCGGTTTTATTATGTATTAAATATTTGCAGTCTTTACCGTCTTTATCTTTTTCCTTAACTCTGCGTCTTCTCTGTCTTAAATGTGTATATTATGAGTTAGACTATTAACTTATTTACTTCCGACTTATTACTTCTCGTCAGAATCTCAACTTTCTTTTCTTGATAATATTCATGGCGCGTATTATCTTCATAAAAATGAAGATACCTTCTTACCTTTCTTTCCTTAGCAATATTCATGGCATATATTAACTTCAGAATAACGTATTATCTTCAGAATAAAGAAAGATATCTTCTTACCTTTCTTTCCTTGGCAATATTCGTGGCCCGTATTATCTTCAGAATAAAGAAAGATAACTTCTCACCTTTCTTTCCTTGGCAATATTCATGGCGCGAATTATCTTCAGAATAAAGAAAGATAACAGGACGCAAGGCAGGAGCTTGATGAGGAACCCATAGACCGGCAAGTAGCAGCGTCGGAATGTGACGTGCGCCTCCGTAGACTCGGACAGCATCACGAAGTATTGAGTTCGATTGTCGGACCTGCAATGAGCATAGCAATAGTTACCTGAGCTACGTAAGCCAGCAATTATCGTGTAATAAATCACATGAGCTTCATAAGCAAGCAATTATCATGTAATGAGTCACGTGAGCTACGTAAGCCAGCATTAAGCATGTAATGAATCACGTGATATATAAGTAGACCAGCAATTAACATGTAAAGAGTCACGTGAGCTACGTATAGGCTAGTAATTAACATATAAGAGTCTCGGCCTATCAAGCGGCTTATCACTAAAATAGAGTAAAACTCATTTCTTAAATTTAACTTGTGCAAAAATAGTTGAACTTTTACGTCAATTAGAATCATGCAAGGCTTTAAACTTGATTGTTGCAATCAACTCTGAGTTCGGTTCTAAAACGAAGTTGCCAATTAGTCCTGGAATGCGGTTATTGATGCTGTCAACCAAGTTTCTGCACTTGGGATTTTTTTTGGGGGTGGATTTGCATTCCGTTCATTAGAGAGAAATGATCGAGAGTACAAACACCAGCTTTGCGAAATCCTATTGGCCAATCGTGATTTTATACATTAAATAATAAATATTTAGGTATATAAATAATAATAATTAATTGATAATCAATTAACCTATGTGTAATTAACTGCAACATAAGTTTCAAAGTACCCGCTTGCATTCTATCCCAAGTAGAAATATACTGAAATATTATGCAATCAAGCAGCACAGCAACCGTTCGAAACTTAACTTAACCTCATTATTAGAAACCAATCACCAAACGGTAACGTAATTTTGAAGCAGATGACCGCATTTAACTTTACGATTTGTCTTTAGTTCATTTTGAAAGGATTTGTTGTACAGCAGTGAATTTAAGGAGCTTACGAGCTTGATATTTCCCTATTTATCTCCATTCCCTATTTCCCTATTTATTTCCTACTGAACATATAGATCATTAAATATTCTGTACCTGTGGTCTCATTCCACAAACAGAACTTTCAGTGAGAAGTTCAGACGGTAATTTCAATATACTTTCCAGTAATTAATCAATAATAATCCAAGCAATTCACAGCAATTCTTACCCATCGCTTTTTCTTTTAAGTATGGAAACAATCTTTCTTAATATTTCACGCAAAAAAAACTGTTTGATTGCTCATTTTCCTTTTTTACCTCTATATAACTTCAATATTTTAAGTTTTTACACTGATGTATTTCTTGTTATTTCACTCAAAAAAAATATTTGAGTGCCCCTTCTCTTTTTTTTGCCTCTATGTAACTCTACAGTTAATTCTAATCAGTTTCAATTACAATCCAGCTTCAATTCCAATTCAATGTTTATATCCAGTTACATTTGATAGCATGAATAGCATGATAAATTTTGACCCAGTTCTTTGACGCCCACGCATCGTGAAGGTTTGACGCGGGAGCTGACGTTAAGCGTTAAGAAACGGCACGTGTTTAGGCCAGGATTGCCAGATGACCTAAAAAACGGCCAAGTCTCCGGCCAAAAAAGGCCTGGATCTCAACATATTTGCAGGTTCCGGTATACAAATTCAATTTTCATTTCTTTCGAATTTTTTAAAATTCGAAAAGGAAATACCGCCATCATAAATTAAAGCCGGCCAACGCAATTAAAAAAAACTTATTCGCGGAATTTGTTCGGGATAAAAGACCGACTGGAACCCTGGTTAACACGCCAGTAAAGGCAGGAAAGTAACCGAAGAAGGCATTAAAGACAGGAAAGTAACTTAAGATGGTAGCAAAGACAGGAAAGTAACCTAAGATGGCAGCAAAGACAATAAAGTAACCTAAGATTGCACCAAAGACAGGAAAGTAACCTAAGATGGCAGCAAAGACAAGAAAGTAACCTAAGATGGCAGCAAAGACAAGAAAGTAACCTAAGATGGCAGCAATGACAGGAAAGTAACCAAAGATGGCAGCAAAGACAAGAAAGTAACCTAAGATGGCAGCAAAGACAGGAAAGTAACCTAAGATGGCAGCAAAGACAGGCAAGTAACCTATGATGGCAGCAAAGACAAGAAAGTAACCTAAGATGGCAGCAAAGACAAGAAAGTAACCTAAAATGGCACCAAAGACAGGCAAGTAACCGAAGACTGCAGCAAAGTCAGGCAAGTAACCTAAGATGGCACCAAAGACACTAAAGTAACCTAAGATGGCAGCAAAGACAGAAAAGTAACCTAAGATGGCATCAAAGACAAGAAAGTAACCTAAGATGGCAGCAAAGACAGGAAAGTAACCTAAGATGGCAGCAAAGACAAGAAAGTAACCTAAGATGCAATTACTCGATAGTTGGTATTTACAGAAACAGATTGAAGAGCCTTTCGCGGCCATTCATTACGGCCGCGGGATATATTGATAATGGCGTGCTCAAAGCTGACAACATACGGATATTGTTTATGAGATACAATTCCATGCATTCTATTTAAAAATTATTAATATGTGTATGATATTGCTTACAAACATTGGTTCGATTTGGTTTATAAATATTTCTATATTTCTATGCATTCATCATTGTTCGACATGGCAACGCCTGAAGTTACGCCAATGGTGCCTGTAAACTCGTGCGTAAGATGTGTTGTGAGAGTAAACAGCGCATGTTTTTTGGAGCATTTGTTTGAATGATATCAATTAAACTTTTTCACTAATAAAATGATAAAATAGCTCTGATTATGAAGTTAATTTAAAAGGTAATTTTTTAATTAATAATTTTTTTTAAAGCGGCAAAATGCAGACGCTGCAGTGAGAGAAGCGTCCGAGAATATAACATTATCCAGAATTAAGGCATTTCTCACAATAATAATTTTTAATACATCATCCACAGAGCTATTGAACTAAAACACTACTCCGCCTATCAGCTTAATTAAGAATAACATGCCGATGCCGACTTACTGACTGATGGTTGCTCGGATGGAGTACAGGAAACAATTAGGCAAGGTGATGAGGATGGAGATGGTGTAAGCGAGAGCTACAGCCAGCCGTGATCGGGGCAGCGTGCATAAAATCAAATTCAAATGTGGAGTGCAAATGGCTATGTATCTCCAGACCGCCAAGGTGATTGCCAGGCAGATGGATATCGTGTGGGCAATCTGCGGGGAAATCGGAAGATATGTAAATTTTAGGCAGAAAGATATTTTAAGAGAAAATGATCAGTAAATCCTACTGCGGGCTAGCGGCTGCCAGCACGAGAGTCGGAATCTGAATTGCGACTTCGATAAGACATTAGAGTTACGAATCGCTCGCCATCTGAAGACGAAAAATTTGCTGTACACTATGACACATTGGAATTTTTCTAGGTACAAGTAATTCTATAAATGACCAGTAAAAAATGTGAGAAATAAATTTCCATAGTTAACTAGAGCATTATATCTTAAATATGCGCGAAAAATTTCTCCGGACAAGATAATTCCCAGTATTTTCTATAAATCGAAAGGTATTATAAATTAAAGAGCTTATGCTCAATAAAGAACCACAATACATTACTCCGAATATCTGTGAAGGAAAAATTGTATAATTAAATGACTAAAAGAATTCTTAGATGTTAACCTGTACAGAGGAGGTTGGATAAAATAAGGGAAACCCTTGGCCTTTTGATATCGCAATTTTTTAACATATTACATATAATGGTAAAGTGACATATTTTTATGTTTTATTGTTTGTTGTTGCTGCTTATTTACATTTTATCCTTGCACAATTATTTTTAGTAGATTTTATTAGTATTTATCGGGGGTGCTATTTCTTGGAAATCCGGCGGACTAACGATTACTCTTCATGGAAGAATCAACAGCCGTGACTATTTAGGAATTTTGGCGGGCCAAGTTCATCCAATAGTTCAAATACTGTTTCCGGAGTTAAACGCCATCTTTCAAGATGATAATGCCCTGATCTATAAAGATGGAATTGCTATTGCTAAAAAATGGGACGGGGAACATTTTAATGAAGTTGAGCATCTCATTTGCCCACCACAACACCTGCAGAACTGAATATTTTCGATCATTTATGGTCGATTTTAGAGATGCGAGTCAGAATTCGATTCCCGCCTCCAACATCTTTAAAATGATATGGATGAGTTTTAGCTGAAGAATGGGTTAAAATTCCTTTGGAAACAATTCACAACTTATATGAATCAATATCTTGAAAAATTGAGGCTCTAATTGCCGTAAAGGGGGACTCAATGATATACCACGATACAATATATTTTATGTATTTCTCATGTAATTTCTTTTATTTTGTCTAACCGCTGTAAATATGTGCATTGATTCCCTTAAAACTGCACTGAACAAATTAGAATTTCCTGTAATTATTAAGAGATATTCCATGCAAGTCTTTTACAGGTAATGCAAGTATTGGTAAATTGAGAAATTTTAAAACGACCACTGGTATTTGTGACTTCAGATTACTGTATGTAGTTCTTTTACAGGATGGCTTCAATCAAAATTTTGCGATAGTGACGGACCTGAAATATCTTATACGAGCAGGTTTTTTTTAGAAATACATCTGTAGATTCGATTCAAAATCGAATAAAATTCAAGATCAGTCCAGTTTGAGAGATCAAATCAAATTAATTGCACGTTTCATCAAATTGAACATGCAAGCTGTCGTAATTATTACTTTGATATATCAGATTAATATGAACTTGCATTAGAAATGTATATCTTGCATTGATATGACTACAAACCACTGAATAAAATGGTGATAAGCGTCCAACTGATAAAGCAGAGAATGTGTGAGAAATAAAACAGAAATACTCTGAACAATAAAAACTAACGCATATATAAACGAAAAAATGTATTATTCTGTTTTAAGCGTGAGATTTAGTTTATGGACGATAATCCTAGCCAAACCCTGAAACTATTGAATACTTTTGCGAGATGAATAGATAAATTTAAATATCGATAAAATTTAAATATCGATAAAATTTATATATCGATAAATTTAAATATCGATTCCCTGTATTAAAGATACAGGGAATTGGGTAGAGAAAGAGTGGAATGATGTTTTCCATATGCATGAGGTGTAGAGCGCCGACAACCTGTCTGCAGTTGGTAGGATTACGATTTTTGGAAGTTGCTCGACGAGCAACAAAAGTTTTCTGCAGCGCACAAGTCTGCAGCAAGAAAAATACATGTCGAGATGAATCATACCTGCAACATTTCTTTGTTTTGCGAGGCGGAAAAGAATAAACATAAGTTAAATGGAATGTGATGAAATATCAACGGCTTCGAGTTTGAGGGAACCTTCGAGTTTTTAACCTTGCTCTGTCAGAAGCCACAAATAAATAATGTACGCTTTCTTTAATTTATAAAAATCATTTATAATTTAATCCCAATATATCTGCATTTATGGATTTACCAGCCTAAAATTTGTGCAGGCAATGTAAGGTGAATGATAGAAAAATACTATACTTATATTATGCAGAAAATAACTTTAAACGATGGCAATCTTTTCAAATTTAGAAATTTTGGTCTAATTTTTATTCGATTTCATACCTTAATTTTATTTTAAAATTAATTTTAGGCCTAATTTGAAAACATACCTGCGTGAAATGTGCGTGGAACAACACGTAGGCCGCATGTGAGTAAGAATGAACGAAATTTTCTTTCCCACGCACGTAGGAGTAAGCAAATCCAATGTACTCCACAAGGATCATGAGATCCACGACGGCCAGGCCTGTGAGGATCGTGTTGGTCGAGTTGATCATTTCCTTCCTGGTTAAGATGATCACATTCAGAAGGTTCGTGATCGAGCCGATGATGCAGATACACAGCGCCAGGTATCCGTGGATTGCCTGCGCGTAGAAGCCGAAAAATGCTAAAAATATTAGTAATAAGCTTAAATCGCAAGTCACTGCGAATTTAAAAGTAAAGAAAACGCCAAGTATCCGTGAATTGCCTGCGTGTAAAAGCAGAAAGATGATAAACATTTTCAGTTGTATGCTTAAATCGTAACTTACTATGAATTTAAAAGTATAGAAAACGCCAAGGATTTGCGTGAAAAGCCAAAAAATTCAAATGATATTCAGTAGTAAGCGTAAATCGTAAGTCACTACGAATTTAAAAGTAAAGAAAACACCAAGTATCCGTGAACTGCCTGGGTGTAAAAGCCAAAAAATTCAAATGAAATTCAGTAGTAAGCGTAAATCGTAAGTCACTGTGAATTTAAAAATAAAGTAAACGCCTAGAATATTCCGTGAATCATCTGCTTGTAGAAGCCGAAAAAATGCTAAAAAATATTCAGTAGTAAGCTTAAATCGTAAGTTACGATGAATTTAAAAGAATAGAAAATGCCAAGGATTTCCGTGAAAAGCCAAAAAATTCTATTGATATTTAGTATTAAGCGTAAATCGTAAGTCACTATGAATTTAAAAGTAAAAAACGCCAAGTATCCGTGGATTGCCTGCGTGTAAAAGCCGAAAAATTATAATAATATTCAGTAAGAAGCGTAAATCGTAAGTCACTGTGAATTTAAAAGTGACGAAAACGCCAAGGATATCCCGTGAATTGCCTGCGTGTAAATGCCGAAAAATGCTAAAAAATTTTAGTAGTAAGCTTAAATCGTAAGTAACTACGAATTTAAAAGTAAAGAAACCGTCAAGACATTCCGTGAATCGCCTGCTTGTTAAAGCCAAAAATTGCTAAAAATATTAGTGGTAAGCTTAAATCGTAAGTCACTATGAATTTAAAAGTATAAAAAAACGCCAAGTATCCGTGGATTACCTGCGTGTAAAAGCCGAGAAATGCTAAAATTATTAGTAGTAAGCTTAAATCGGAAATCATTACTAATTAAAAATTAAAGAAAACGCCAAGAATATCCCGTGAATCGCCTGCGTGTAAAATCCAAAAAATGCTCACAAATAGTAACAAATAGTAAGCAAATAGTAATAAATGATAAGCAAATAGTAACAAATAGTAAGCAAATAGTAACGAATAGTAAACAAATAGTAAGTAAATACTAAGCAAATAGTCACAAATAGTGAGCAAATAGTAAGCAAATGGTAACAAATACTAAGCAAATAGTAACAAATAGAAAGCAAATAGTAACAAATAGTAACAAATATGAACAAATAGAGAGTAAATAGTAAGCAAATAGTAACAAATAGGAAAAAACTAGAAAGTAAATTGTAACAAATAGTAAAAAATACTAACAAATAGTTAACAAATAGTAACAAATAGTAATTTATAGTAAGCAAATAGTACAAATAGTAAGCAAATATTAACAAGTTAGTGAGTAATGTTCTATGGCTGACTCACCCCATAACTCTCTCTGAATCCGATGTCACAACTTGATGACAGTATTTCTTTTGAGTCCAGAATATCCTTGGCGTCCTTGAGCAATTCTTGACATCTATTGTAGAATTTATACGAAGAATTTATCGAATCAACATAAAAAAATTCGACGTCAATGGGCGTTGAAAGGTTCGTTGCCCCGACGACTTGTCTCTGCTGCTGGACGCTCGAATTGAGGTGGTCATTTAAGAGGATTTGGGTGCAGTGCGTTAAGTTCAAGCTCTCCATGAGTGGTTCTTGAATTAAAAACTTCAAATCAGATGCATTTGCAGATAAAATACATTTCTTTTCAAATTAAAATGATATATATTATGGTTAATTAAATATTCTTTAATTTATTCAAAGGGCAAGCATGATTAAAAAGCATTTGTTAATACTGTTAGCAATCAACTTAGTTAACATATGATTTTTCTATGTTAACAACGATGAAATTTTCAGGTATTTTAACTATAATAGATATGAAATAATATGATACGCTAGTCGGTTTTCTTAAAAATCTGAAACAAAAGCTGAAAAATTAATGCAAGATTTGTACATCAAACCGAACAATTCTAGCTTCGTTAACGGTACAAAATAACAATGATTATCATGAACTGTTCAGTGATAAAAGATTATATTCCTGACATCATATATGTGTTCATAATCTATTTCTGATCAACTGTCTACATTTTAGTTGAAACGTACGTTTCAATTGAATCATTCGTACGTTTCTGTTGAAACGTACGAATGGCATTTCATTTTACTTCTTACCATTCAAAGTCCCCCAGGGCCAAACTTTTTTTATCAATTTTAATCAGCTTCCAGAAATTGGCACTTCAAAGCAGAACTTTCATTCTCAATCACTCAAGTTTCGAACTTTGTTTGGGCTAGAGTTACTCAATCCCTCCAGTCAGCATCCGTGACTCGTGGTACCTTCAAACTTTATATTAGTTGGGCCGTCGATTGTAGAACGAGTTCCAATAATTATTTTTATCAATGACCATGCATAAAAATTAAGTTTAATTATTTGTTTGATTAATTTTAAAAATAATAGAAAAAATAGAAAATATTCAATTAAAATTAATTAAATGTCAATGCTTATTAACTAAGAGCTAATGTGAAGTAACTAAATGCTAATGCTAAGCAGCTAAATGCTTATGGTAATTAACTAAATACTTAATTGTGAGACAAACTTAAATTTTCCATATATAAATATCAATAATATTCAGACAACGCTAAGACTGTTGATGATTTTTTTTAATTAAGCATGACCAGCCGGTGGTCTGGTAGAAAAACAATACGAACTGATGCATTGAAATAATGAGCTGGAAAGCATCTATTGAAGAATTTCGATTATCGACTTTTGACCCCTGTGAGATTTTTAAATGATTCAGAACGACAATCAGATTTATTTAATGTACGAATTCACACGTCCCATAAATTTTTCGAAAACAATCAAAGAAATTTTACATTATGCTCGATACGTGAACATCTCCGAATATTCTGAGCAGATGAACGGAAAAATAAATTTATTTTAACATCCACATAAATTAAAATTGAAAATTACTAATTTCTGATGAATTTTGAACGGGTAAGGCCAGAAAATTCGAATGCGATCTAATAAATGGAATCAAAAGAAATTTTAAGTTTGAAAGATCAATGTAGTGCGTACAAATCAGTTAAATATTTTTACGAATACGTTAAATGAAAAAATTTTAAGCAATTTGCATGGCCGGGCTTCAATAAATTTTAATTAGTTTTTTTGTTTTTTCAACTGTTCCTCTTTCATTAAAAGGCTTCTTGTGACCTTTTTCTGAATTGCCCGTTCATAATATTGTCCATCTTAATATGAAACCGATAAGGAGTGCTTTATGCAGCAAATTATAAGTGATCTTTCGTGGAAATCCTTCCACGTATTCCTCAGCGAATATTAGAAATATTTATTCTAATGCGAGAAATTATTAAATGAAATCAGAAGAAATTTTGAGTTTGAAAGCTCAATGTAGGGCGAGCAAATCAGCTAAATATTTTTTACGAATACGTTGAATAAAAAAAATTTTAACCACTTTGTATGGCCGGGCTTCAAATTATTTTAATTAGAGGTTTGTTTTTCAACTGTTCCTCTTTCAGTAAAAGGTTTCTTGCGCCCTCCTTTTGAATGGCTCGTTCGTAATATTGTTCATCTTAATATGACACCGATAAGGAGTGCTTTATGCAGCTAATTATAAGTGATCTTTCGTAGAAATCCTTCCACGTATTCCTCAGCGAATATTAGAAATAGTTATTTTTCTGCTTTTCACCTCATTAATCATCACACAGGTGATCATTCTCTCAAAAAATAACCTTTTGAACAAGCACAAGTTTAAAGGCATTCACAAGTCACCATTGGAATAAAAAACACACCCACGCAAGAACCTGCTCATCAAAAGCTTCAATGTGGACAAGCAATGGCCGTTTGACTTTGATTTTCTAATTCATAACAATATTAGTGCCTTTTGTTAGCGATTATTCCCTCGGTGCTCAGGTGTTCTAAGCTCTATGTTGACTTTAATTTTAGGTGTATATATTAAAGTTAATTTAAATTGCACAATGCACAGGCAATTTTGAATAGTCAGCAGTACTTTTATCTGAATCTCGCGTCAATGTTTAACAAAACTATTTCAACAAACTGTATGAATAACTGAATTATTATTGAAGGGTATTTTGTTCAATCTGAAATATTCGCATTTTTGGACATAAATTTTCAATATTTTGTTTCTAAATTGCAATTATCGATGCTATAGAACATCCTTATATATTGTGATACTCAAATCAACATTAAAACTCGAAAATATTGTCAGCGAAAAGATAGGTACAAAATTAAATTGTAAAGGACTTTCTTCTTGGCTATTCTTTTGGGAACGTTTGCTGAACTATTGTAAGACGCGCCAGCATGGCGGGGTAAAAAACGAGTATTCCATGATGTACGGTTTCTAGAAAGAAAATTACAAATATACATAAGATAAATATAAAAGAAAAAGGATACGCTAACTACATGAAATAATAATATATGAACCAAGATAAGACAATAATTAAACAGAACAATCAATAATACACGAAAACAAACGATAAATCGAACGAACCGAATAGCTTGGTACCCCTGGTAGTGCTGGCATCCGTATATCAAGGGCTAACAATGAATGCTGTGACGCTTGTGAAATCAACTGCGTCGAGTAAGCTAATTCTATTGCTACAAGTTTCAGTAAAAGGGAAAATGGCGGCTACTTAAATAATGCAAATCTTCGCGCGAAAACCGTTTTTCAAAATCAGAATTTCTTGTTGTAAATCTTATAATATTCATAAATCTCATTCAAGAACTCGAAAATCAAGCCGCCTGCATGTTGAACAAACGTTCAATTTATTTACTTACCTACTTGATGGCGGAAAAAATATAATGTAATTTTCGACTCTATTATTTAATTCGAATATTATCAAATTAATTATAAATTTAATTACAGTCATTGCACTTAAGATCGATTATCACCGAAAACATTTATCATCCCAGGGCAATTATATTTTTTTCAGATAAATTTTCATCTCATTTACTCTGAAGACAGTCCGCATTATTGCGATAATATGAATCCTGTATAAAAGAGTGACAGACTTGATACAGTTATTGAAAATGTTAGCCTCAATAATGATATTTAGAACACCATCCTTGATAAGGATATTAAGGTTTATATATATTATATATGCGCGAACTCGAGTCAAGGTCACGTCAGGTTGTTTTCAAGTTATGACGCTAGCAATATTCACTTAGGCTCCGGCGGGACTTTATTATGAAGCTTAGTATGCAATTAGGGACCACCTGTTTATTCTAAAGTCAGTTCACTTTAAGCCAGTTTACTCTGAAATGTTGGTTTACTCAAAGGCAGTTAAGTCTGAACACAGCAAGAACCTGAATCCTTTTAAGCACCTTTTCTCATTTATGGAAAAAATGCACTATCGTGCTCGCCATGTCCTTGTGTCTGTCTGTCTGTCTGTCCGTCCGTCCGTGACCTCAAGTTTTCGTCGGCGAGAAAATGCGCTCTCTGTCACTCACTGCAGTTAGTACTGAGTTATATTTTTTCAGTGTGCTATTCATCTCAATAAGATTTAATCATAACTGAATTTTCTTCTCCATACATTGATCAGTAACTGATAAATATTTTCCTTTGTAGTATATTACATTGTTTATCTCGTGTTCCATGGGAGTTAGTGCAGGATAAATGGCAGCTTAAGCCAGCAGGTTAACTTAGAGTTGCAGATAAGTCCTGGGATCAGGTTTACATGGCAAGTTAATTCGGTGCTGTTATACATGTGATGCTTGGGGATGATTTGATATAGTGTATCAAGGTAATACTTGGTTTAAACAGTGTAATGCGCTTATACATTGTTTCGGCCTCATACAGTAATAATAAAATATGAAAAAATTCATCAAATAACATGAGTTTAAAGCATTTTCATGAGTTCAAACAAATTTTATTTTGAAATTCTGGTACGCTTTTATTTATTCCTAGAACATAAATTTTTTAAAACTACTGCAAATAAATGTATATTGCAATTCTTATATGCTTTTGTCTTTTCTTACAACATATTTATTTTCAGAGATAACAAAGCCGAAAATTGTACGGAGTAAAACAACAGTGGCTTCTTGATTCGTAAACCGTTAACAGCTAAATAAAAAGTATTAAAAATCTCTATAAAAATTTTCCGATTCGTGGTCCACTTCCAACTCAAGTTATAACGAATTTTTTTAATTAGGAAACAGTAAGCTATTTCCTTTCCTAAAACTATGACCTATGCATTATTAACCTTCACATCTAACGCTGTCACATTCGACATGTCATTTTCTGAACCAAGTAAACCGAGAATAATCTAATACAACGACTGAATGGCTTATGGACGTAATTCATGGACAAATAAATTTCTAACGTCCGCAATAAAATTTATTGATCCCGGGAAACCACCACTGGCTATAATCTCTGAAACAATTTTTCCAGTTCGTTTGAACCGGTAATGCAATTTCCCCAAGCCTGAGACCGGCGAGTTTGATGAGAGTTTCGATGCCTGCTTCGAAGTTCTCCGGTCGAAAGGTGTTACTTTATCAATTGTGTCTGTCAGTTGTTCAACAAAATTAGTTGAAAAATATAACTCAGTACTCACTGCAGTGAGTGACGGAGAGCGCATTTTCTCAAAATCGACGAAAACGTGAAGTCACGGACAGACGGACGGACGGACGGACGGACATGAAGAA